TACTGGAGAGACTATGCTTGCCTACAAGAAAGAGACATGGCAAGACAAATGTTTACAGCCAGTACATTAAAAAAAATCTACCAGGCAAAGTAGATATCAAAAAGATCAGGCAATAGCTAAGAACAGGAATGTTGAAGAAATCGACAGAGGGGCTAATTCTGGATGACAAGACCAAGGCTTAAGAGCAAATGCATACAACGCTGGATTTGAGAAAATGGCAACAGATAGGAAATTTCTGTATAAAAAACATTTTTATAATGAAGAACATTTCTGATTAGGCCAAACACCTGCTTTCTATAATACATCCTGTTTTCTATAATAGGCAATCAAATGTCTTTGGGATATCTACATCTAATATCTAATCTATAGCCCTTTGTCAGTAGACTATAAATTGAATAAGACTAGAAGTATATTTATCTGACCAGACACAGGAAATATAGAGCTAAGCTGGTCACTTCTCTGCTACTTAATGTGAAAAATTTTATATAAAAATATATTTTATTCTTTCTATCTCCCTTTAAACATTAATTGAATTCACAATGGTCTGAGAATCAGCATCTCCACTAGATAATTGACTGTCAAGCTGAAATTAAATTAATCAAGTAAAAAATAGCAAAAAGGGAAACATCCTTCACCCAAATTTGCTCAAACTTCCAAATTAGTTACCCAGACTTAATAGCAAAGGAGAACTGCAAAAACAAACTGCAAAACTGCAAAAACAAACAGAGTTAATTAAATTAGGTCTCCCATCGGAACTGCATGTTTACAAAAATACATACATACGTACATACACACACACACACACACCGCAAGGGTCACTTTAGAATCAGCACATAGACACTTCCACACCCTGGACAAATTCCCCCTATATAAGTCTGCTGCTGTACCCCGTTTCTCTGCAGCTGCCTCTAAAAGCAAACTGTTTGCTTTTAGGAATAAATATTTCTCCTTTCCTCACAGTTGTCTGGATCTCATTTTTATTCTTGCATAACTCCAGATTGAGTTGGAACCCCAAATTATTTTTCTGACATAAACTAATTGGTTAGAACTAACAGAATATTACTGAGATTTAAAAAGTGTGTTCTTTGTTAGCTACAATGATTTAAATATTGCATAGTTTATGCTGCTAGTTAATTAGGGTTACACAGGGTGATCATTCAGCTTGTCATATATATTTAATTTGTTCAGCTTGTGATGATGATCCAAACAGAAAGAGAAAAGGAAATACCTCTTCAGAAGCATTAAGTGTATTTATAGTAATCGAAATGCGGAAAGAAAGAAGCATTTAAGAAAAGAACAATAAGTTCCCAAAAGTCTCATTCTACCTGTCAGAGATATACACATGGCCTTCAACTTTTACATAGGCTCTTTGTTTTACTTAGAAGTTAGATTGAGTTTTTAAAACTAGATATTGTTATAATAAAAAACTTCATAAGCATGCCAAATCCACAAAGGTCACCCACAGAGTACATTTTTCTACTTTTGCCCTTTAAAATCATATATTTCAGATTAGTGACTAACCATTCATTTGTTTTTTTTACAAAATTTACTACCTGTGGAAGAAAACAAAATTTGCTATTCGTTATGGTTGCAATTTTCTCTAAAATAAGTTGACACCACAATTATTCAAAAATAGCACATCATTTTCTGTATATTTGTTTGCGAAAGAGTTACAGCAAAAAAGAAAGAAATGAAGAGGATTTAGATCTTAATTCTCAAACTCAAAACATCTGGGAATGTATATCAGCTCAGTGTTTTGTTTATTTTGATCTAAAGAAACCATGAGGACATGTTGCAAATGAAATTCAGAATAGTATGATGGGAGTATAGTTTTCAAAATAGGTGTATCTGTTCCTAGTGAACAGCACTTTTCTGTGTATATTATGACTGAATGAACCAGTTCTAGGGCCAAACATGGCCCTTTAGATGTCACTGAATGACAATTCCCAGAAGGTTCTGGGAAGCTCATTGAAAGGGCTGCTGGGAATTGTAGTTCATCAACCCATGGAAAACCGCCCTGACTATTGCTGACCTTCATTTTAAGTTGTGCAATAAATAATCAAACCTCTTTCCAATCAAACGTAATATAGAAGAGAAAGGTGAATTTTATCAAGACCTCAGTTCACATGGAAGGTAGGTCTGACTTTGATCCCCCAATTGAAGAAATTCTTGCTTGCATAAAAATTAATCAAGAAAAAAGTTTTAAAATAAATGGCTGCTATAGAATTTCTAAGAACAGTAGGGCCGAAAACTGAAAGATCTTCACTTCCCACGTTCCAAAGGTAATTCAATTTTCTCTAAGTGTGCCACTAACTTTTCATAAAGGGAACTGCTTACTGGATGGATGACACCTTTTTAATTTGGCCGTGTGATTTGAGGAATGCAAGATAAATTCTACTCGTGGAATTTCATATCTAGTTCTTCTCTGA